GTCGTATCGATCTCGAAACAAAGGTCGACGACCACATGTATTGCCTGTCAAACCTATCTATTTGTTCCGCAATATTTTTTCCATGCAATTTCGAATATTATCGTATTTACAGATACTTTGTTTTGTAAAATTTGTCAATATATTTTAACAAATTATGATTGAATGATATCGAAGCATATCATTCAAAAATTTCAGTTTAATTTTATTGTGTGTAAAATTAAATAATAGAATTTCACTCTCAAAATTTAAAATTATGGTGCGATACTATTTTTATAAAGTAAATAACTAATAATACTTTTGATTGCGAGAGAAAGGAAAGTCACAAATATTATTATCAGTGATAGATACAGGAATCAATAAATGCATAAAAAAAACTAGGCAATAATAATGCCACTGCTAGAAGAATTACACATGCATAACAACAAGAAATAATATATAATACATTATAAAAGTATTAAATTATTAAAATATTTATGAATTCTTTTCTCATCTTTTTCTCTCTCTTATTCTTTCTCTTGACGTTAAATAAACTGTTCAACGAACAATAATTTATCAAAACGTTTTAATCACAAGTTTGTTTCAAATTTAATATTGTTAACCACGATAATACATGCTACGAACGTTTCATTCAATTTTCGTGCGCACATGTGCATTTGCGATGGGCGAACGAAGAAGTTGCCCCTTAATCGTCTGCAGTAAAGGCTACTCTCGGTCGTAGCGGTAACTTATAACGGGTCGTTCGATGCAATCTCCTTATCGTAAAGCTCGGATTAAAAGGAACAAAAAGCTTGGCTATGCTTGACCTGAAAACTTGGCCTTGCCGCGTAATTTCCGTTTTTCTACGCGGATTGCGAGCGATCTTGAAAAAAGATGTGATTATTCGTGGGAAAGCGAGCGATTAATCGAGCGAGCGGAAGTTCGATGGGCGGATTGCACATTGCCCGCTGTTTTGCGTTGTTGCAAAAAGAGCGTTCATTAACCGTTGCACACATAGTTGACGACTTCGAATTCATATATTATTTTCACGGATTTTATCGGTTTTTTTCATTTACTTATTAATGAAAAAATGTACCTTTAGCATAAAGATAAGAAGATCTTTGGTTTACATAATAATATTGAATATATGATGATACAATACATTTAAAATTTAAATTAAAAGGTTTTATTTAAATATGGATGTATTATAAATATGGTCCTCTTGTTGTCGCTATACATAACAATTAAAGCGAACGCAATGTCCACATGTATGCTCATTTATGGCGAGTATACCATTGTTATAGTTTTTCTGTTTTATAACTGTATTATGAATTCTATGAAACTGTTTTTCTGAAATGCGAGTTTTATTGTAAACATTGCAAACTTTTTCTATGCCACTATTCCGATTGTTTATTTCTTGATTCAATTTTGCTACAATATAAAAAATGTATAATTGCATATGAATATTTCTATATATTTATGCCGTCTTCTTACATTTAATATTACATGGAATTCGATATTATATCGAGAAAACATATTTTAAAAGAAGTTATTTCTAATATTCGCGAGAAAACTAAATCTATCTTTTTTTTTTAAATATCTATAATTTAACAGATAATCTTTAAATTTTCAATATAACAGTGCAGTAGATTGTGTTCAACGATTTCAAATAATATTTTTAAAATAATGCTATTTACAAATATGCTTTTAAAATAATTTCGTACGCGACTATGTTGAAAAACTTGCGCGTTGCTATTTTTATTATTAAAATTTTCCTTCGATTCAATACGGGGCTCGGGTTTTTTGACCAAATACATATTTTTATCTGATAATATATATGGTAGCCTGTATCGATTCGGTTTCTTCTTATCGTTTTAAAGCGAGACTTGCTTGCAAAAAGCTATTTGATAAATGGCACTGCGTATGGTGTGGTTTCAGCTACTAAATCGTTCGTATAATATCAAATATGGATCATTCTGTGTGTTGTCCAACACAGCGCACGTCTTTCACGAAAAATGAACAACATTCGTAAATATAAGCTGAACACAACCCGTATAAGACTCGCTGAAGAAAAACTATCAATTCTAGTCGTCTACATTTTTGAGACGTACATTTTTTAGATCTATGATATATGAAGTACTAAATATAAAAATTAAAAATTTCAGAATTATTTTTAATAAAGTTTATTATATTTAATTATCACTGTAAATGTCTCTACGTTATGACACAAATTCTTTTGTAATAAAAATTTGAAAATGGTGTTATTGAGCCGTATCCGGCAATTAATTATTATACTATATACGACATTACATATATAT